GAACTGGAGGTACTTATCAAGATAGAAAGGTGAAAAGCCTATTGACTATAATGATAAGTGTCATTTCATATTTCTTCCTCTTTACGTATGCCAACGGCCCTCCGGAAGCGAGCAAAACGCGGCGAGGAGTGTCATTTGACCTCAGTCTTTCTCAGAAAGTGGGTGCCAACATTTATATCATTCATATGTTGCATCTTTTCGAGGCAGCACGAAGGTGGTATCATGTAGCACTGCTACAGGCTCTCGGAAGTAAGGAGTTTATAAACTCGGACAAGAATTGTCAGCGCGTTTGCGCGCACGATAACACCGATATTTGCTGAATAGCGGGTTGCTTCATCATAGCACCGATTCAACGGATACGCCACGACTTGTGATTTCTTACAATAAATATCGTATCCTCTAAGAGGCCTGCGACGCCCTACTCAGTGGTCTCGGTCGTGAAAAGATGTACAGCTCGGCGAGTTGCTGCTATTGGTGCCCAAGCTGTACAAATGGACGAGCAAATATGTGCGCACGTGTGAGACCTGTCAGAGGGTAAAACCCTCTCCAAATTCAGCGGCGCCACTGGCCAGTTTACCGGTATCCTTTGGCTGTTGACAGCCAGTTTGGAGTTTGGGTTTGGCCTGCCGAAGGACTCAGCGGGCAACACGGGTGTTTGATATCCTTGTGGACCGTTTGAGCAAGATGGATCATTTTGTGGCGGTGCAGAACACCATCAATGGTGTGGGAGCAGTGATGCCGTTTGTCGATCGTGACTATCACCAGCATGGATTCCCAGAGTCAATTGCCTTTGATAGAGATTTGCGCTTCACTGGGAAATTTTTAATTGATAATCTTCAGGGTGCTGGGCACCAAGTTGAGTATGTCAACAGCGGACCTTCCGCAGATCGATGATCAGATTGAGCGCGTGAATCGAATCTTTGAAGACGTTCTTCGCAGCGTCTGCGCTTAGACGACGAAGTGCTGGAGCGCCATGTGGTCACTCGAAGAGTTTGATTTGAACAATGCAGTACATTCATCTAACGACTACACGGCGTTCTGGGTGAACGGGCTTGCTAATCTTCGCGTCCCGCTGACGCCGCATCCCATGGCTCAGGGCTTAGTGGGGAGGAATAGCTGAACAGCAAGCTGATGTCAGCCCCGTCACTGTCCGTAAGGAATTCTAATGACTTTCTGCCTACCAGACCGAGTATCTTACGACGCGTTCGCGATGCGATGGCTGAAGGCCAAGACATGCAGAAAGAATATGCAGAAGGAAGAAGCAGAAGGAACGAGGAAACGTCGAGGTCGGAGACCTAGTTATATTGAATGCTAATAACCTTCCTGCATATGCAGTCTCTGCTGTCATTAAGACAAAGATCCGTCCACGTTTTATTGAACCGTTTAAGGTTGTGGCCAAGCAAGGCCTTGCGTAAACGCTGAACCTTCCGAGAAGGATGCGCACCCACCCGGTAAGTTGTGTGGACTCGGCGCAAGTAAACGCGGAAACGTTCGCGCCGGTGCTGCGTCAAAAGGGGTCTCGGCCACCCAGAAGCCAAACCAGCAACTGGTTCTGAGCACGGAGTGCAAGAATTTCCGTTTCCAACGGCGCAAGGCACTCTACCGTCGCGCGCAGTGACGAATTTTTTCTGCTCAACGGCTAGGAGCCGCTCCGACGGAGCGCGCCAATCCTTTACGTGAGGCAGTCGGTGCATAAAACGCTCCAGGCCTCGAGGTCTTCCGCTCAGCGGTAGGCGACCTCGGAAAGATGCTCGGCAGAGTGCCGATAACGACGGACTTTGTCTTGCAAAGATCGAAGAGCAACGCGAGTCACCGGACGGCGATCGACCATGTCGTAATCGTTCGCCACCGACTCTTTTCGATGAGAATGGGTGGCGTACACTACCGCGTGGAACGACTTGTGGGTCGACGTCTCCGACAGGGTTGAGCGCAATATCTTGTGAAATGACAGGGACACTCAAACTCCAAGAACTTGTGCGAGTTTCGGCAAGACTGCCAAGACATCGTAGACGCTAATGATCAGAAGAATCATGACGTCTACGCGTCATCTTGCACCTCGCGCATCCCGGTGGTAGCCTGGAAAGCCGGAGGGCCCTGAGCTGCTGTGGCGTAGACTCACCCATGATAAAAATCACAGAGCTTATGGGAGCGTGGTGGATTACGCAACCTGAGCTTGATCAGCGGAAAGCTCTACGAGTTCGCTATTTGATACCCCAAGAAATGCCGTGCACGACTTCAAGCTCAGAAAGTAGACGCTCCTGTACCCGAAATGAGGGATGATCACCCTTGGCAAAACTTTTGCAGATGATGAGGAGCTTTTGAGCGATGGGTAGCGGCACTGCAATTATTCCTCGCTGTCTACCTAACAGCGAAGCCACAAGGAATTGGACGTGCGCGTTGAGCGCCATCTCCAATTTGAGTTTGCCAAACACAAGGCTTAATGCCGAGGGTCTAAGACTGAACGTGGATACAAATGCGGGAGGGCCGCCCTGTGAGCAGCCATTAATTGCTGCTCCTGTGCCTCGTCGAGGCGATTGGTAATAATACCACTCCCCCCCCGGAAGCCGAGAGGTCGGGGAACGAACACGGTGTCCGCAAGGTTTGAGCTGGACTCTCGTCGCGCCGATGACGCACTTCATCCTCCTCGTCTTCCCATGCCGGGAAACAAGTGTCCGACTCGCAGTCGACCTCCTCCAACTCCTCGACGAGGAGATACGTCACCCGGGGCGGGCGCGATGTGTTGCGAGGGCTCGGGATGTGCTTACCGGGAAGCCGCGGACGTACTGTCCGGAGATGCCTGATGTGCAGATGAAGAAGAAGGGCTTTGTCCGCGGGCGCATTTGCTATCAGCTAGGCTGGGTGTTTTGCATGTTATAGACACAGGGCTCATAGAGCAGAGAATGTTTAAAACTGTTTCTTACGAGCGTAACGGTGTCTCAGACACATGAGCCTCGAATGAGGCGACAGATAAATGTTAAGTGTGGGTATTCACAATTTTGACGGAGGAGGAAGTAACGAAATTACATGTACCCAGAGTGTAACGGATTTACACGTACACTTGAATGAAAAGGCGGCTCACACAAGATGGTGTGACCGTATGTGTGTGGATTACACAAGTGGTTTAATCACACAGTAATTTGGCTACACCGTAGCAAGAAGTCAACAAGTGGCAGGATTGCCAGTCTTATGCATATCACTATATTAATTAGATTTTACTATATGAATAAATTATTACTATAATTGTTTGGAAATCTAGAGTTTTGAATATTGGTGGCTCTCCCGCAACTAAAATAATTAAACATAGTTTCAATTTTGAACGAAAGCGCGACTTACCTCGGTTAAGATTTTAGTACTTGGAGATAGCAGATTGCGATCCGCTACACTCGTACTGGTTCTTGCAAAAAACGTTCGGTCGGTGACCTTAGCTTAGCTGCCTCTAAACAAAGAGCTCCGGCAGCCCCGTTGCAGCGAGACAATGTGTTCGATTTTTTCTCGGCATCTCAAACCACGAGCGCTCCTGTTGCAACAAACAACCTTAGGCTGAAAGAGTTGGTGTCAACATCATGTTTGCACTTTGCAAAGTCAAGCATCAAACCATGCTTTAGTCGGAGGTCTGTCCGAATGAAGCTGGATTATGAAACGTAAAGTGGTGAAACGACGTGTAGTGCGCTAATCGAGTAAAATACCCGTTAGGCCTAAACCCATCGCATAGTTCCAGCGTTCAATGCTCAGGACGGTAACGTTTTCACTCAACCGCTGATGCTTTGGACGCGAGTGTTATCACGAAGACGCTTAAAAAAGGGTTTTGAGCGACTTTCGGAATCGCGTTCCACTCTTTGTTTAAGCAAAAAAGCCACACGCAAAAGCAATTGCGGCTTTATCGATTCGCAGCAATCGACTTCTGAGGAGCAAATCCAGAGTCACAGCAGATTTCAGTCTACGAAAGTTGCTGTGACTTTCTCGCTTGAAGTTGGGCGAGCTCGGTCTAAATCATTAAAAGAGAGATACACTTGTCATTAGTTCGGCATCGTCGTATCACCTTTGGCAATAGAATACGGGTGCAAAGTGCACTATTTGTGTAGAAGAGAGACGAACGTAGCAAATGATTTGTCCTGGGAAAACGGCGTGGTCATTGTTTTTATAGAGGAGAGAGTTGATTAACCTTGGGTCTT